TCCCCCTGCTTTCTGAAATAGTTTCACAAATTGTATCTGTCTTAGAATATATGTAATCTAAAAATGCAAAACTGGAAATGTATGTCATGTGTATAGTATAGTATAGTATAGTATAGTATAGTATAGTATAGTATTATTCACAAATCACAACCATGATAATGGGAGCTCTTTTTACTTATATAATTGTATTTGAGAGTAGTGTTGTTTTTTTTTAGGAATATATCCAGGTCTCTTAAGTTATTTGTAGTTAGGACTTTTCTCTCACTCCTTCCCTTTTAGAGAAAGGCTGCATCTATGACTTGAACCAACTCAGTAACTTCTTAAAGGCCATCAATAGCCATGGAATAACAATCAGGTAGCAAGTAAAATTAACAGGTATTGCTCCACTCTTTCTTTCTCCCTCTTGTTGCCAGTTAGACTTATGTTGCTAGGAAGGCCCGATATCTCTAGCATTTCTCCTGGAGCAGATAGCTGTGGTTGTTTGGAGCATGTTCCTTTAAACAACCTCTTTTTCTTTTTTATTTACAATAAACACGTTTTTGTTAATGAAACCCTCGCCCACTTGCAATTTCCACCCCCACTCTTCCCCAAACTCCATAAAGCTCCTTCTTTGCATATCTGAGCCCTGTTATGTTGGGCTGGGTTCTTTTGAGGTCAAAGGGTCACTCTGGGGGCAGCAGGGTCATTGTATAGCCATCATGGGTCAATAAGCAACTGGTCAGGCTCTCAATCCACATCAAGCCTTGAAGAGGACTGGGAAATGGGAGAATCCATTCATAATAATAATAAACTTGTCAATCAATAACAGGCATGAGAAATACTTTGTAAAAGGTAAAAAAAAATCTTTCCTTTTTTAAGTTTGACATTAAACTTTACACAGAAAGTTTTTTGAGAAGTTTCCAAATTGCCTTTTTTTTTGCTGTCTTGAAATTTTATTAGAGATTTAAAAAAAACAGGCACCACGAGTAAAAAATAGTTGTAAGTATGATTTTTCCACGTGACAACCCCCCCCCCCCCCCC